TGGCCTACCTACCCCCCACCCCACTTTCTGTAATGTGCAGCCTCTACCTTATCCTTCTATTGGCTCTTACCGCGGTCTAGGTCATGATGTGATACCTTTTGGCACTAAGACCAATGAATACTTTTCCCATAAGTCCATTTTCTTATTATTTCTATTTCTTCCTGACATCTAGAAGTCACCTTATCCTTCAAAATTAAGTATATTAACAATAGTTCAGCCGTTGTTGAGTACCCACTCCATTCAAGCACTATGTAAAATGCTTTGTACATTATCAATCTTTATAACAATCTTGTGAGTTTAGGTAGCCTCACCCCATTTCTGAAGGCGGAACTCTGGCTCAGAGGGCTAAGCAGCTTACCAGCAACTGCACAGCCCCTGATTCAGTTCATCTAATCTTGAAGCCTGGGCTCCTAACCAGCACTTTGCAATTTTGTTTTTTGGCTAGGCCTCTCTGCACATTTATGTCTCTTAATTTCAGAGTGATATGTCTGCCTTGACGTATCCAGCAGTCTGTCTTATCCCAGAGTCCAAATTTCCACTTTGCTTCTCCCAGGATGTCTGGGAGGGTCACCAGAACATCTAGCATCTTGATGCTGGAAAGGACTCTGAGGGGTGTTTCACCCCCCATATCCAATTTTACAGATGGGGAAACTTAGGCGTCTTTGTGCTTAGTGCTACATGAGGGAAACTTTGTAGTTGAACAGCGTAATCCTGGTTTCTCCACCCCGAGGCAGGCTGTGTGCCTTGGCCAGATCACTTAGCCTTTCTGTCCCAGCTTCCATTGTATCCTAAGAAAGGGGCATCTATTTTCAATGTTTGGTAGGATGCTCATAGGCAGAGCACCCACACCCGTGCATATAGTAAGAGTTCAGTAATTGCTGGCTCTGTGTAATAATAGTAGACCAGAGAACTCTGGGTGGCTCCAGTCAGTTAAGCGTCACAGCTTCAGCTCAGGTCCTTGATCCTAAGTCGTGAGTTGAGCCCCCTTCGGGCTCTGTGCTGACAGCTCAGAGCCCAGGCAGCTCTGGATTCTGTGTCTCCTCTCTCTCACCCCTCCCCTACTCATACTCTGTGTCTCAAAAAATGAGATGAAAGTGTGAAAAAAACTTAATAAAAGTAAAATAAATAGTAGACAGAGGAGGGTCATGCAGCAGAGAAGAAGGATTCTCAGCATGTCAGTGGCTGGCCAGACTCAACACCCCGTTCCAGAGCACCAAGAGGAATACCGTGTGACAGGGGACAGGGTTATCACTGAGGTGACTGACAGGGTCAGCAGTCAGAGGCAGGAAGGAAGTGGGCTGGGAAATGAGGGATTTCCCAGGGTTCACAGCAATTGTCAAGGTCACACAGCTAGCCTTGAAATCATCCACCACATGGGGAATGGAAGGAGGAGTGACACAAATTCAAAACCCTGGAGAACACAAATCACCAGTTTCCTTAAACCCCAACTATTGCTTTCTTACCGCCTACCGGTCCCACCTGGTGGTGACAGGAAATGTGTCAGGCCAAAACTGGCATCAGTCTCAAAGATGGGACCACTGGGAGAAGAGGCTCTACATTAAAGCCCTTAGTCATCCTTCTCTTTCCCCTTTTAGAAAGGGTGGTGCCCTCAGACTCCCCTCCTGAACAAGAGCCCCAAACAGCCCATTACCTTTGTAAGGCACAGAGGATGAGGCCCCTCCATGCCTCCCCACACAGCCCCCTCTGCCTCCCCAGGCGCCTGTAGGGAGGTGAGGGCTGTCCTCAGACCCAGACAGGAGGTCACTGAAGGCTCTGCTCGACCATACTCTGGCCATGACCCTCCCCACAAGGGTAGAGTCCTTGAGTCCAAATGCACAGATTCTCCCCAGACCTGCTTGACTCCTAGACCACCTCTGAGTACCTGGGACCCAATATCCCTGTGAAATGCCCTGAGCAGGCCTGTGTCCAGTCCCAGTGGATCTGTTCCTTCGTCCCTTCCTCCCAGAGGAGGCGCTGTTGATGTACAATTATAGCCCAAGGATGGCCGTTTGTTTATGGCTATTTGTTTGGGGGGGGGGGGCACATGGAATGAGCTTGGCTGTGGGCTGGGAGTCCCATCCATGTGCACAGGCCCCTGGGAGGGATAGAGCCAGGGTGGGTCAGGGGCCTGTGACAGGCTCTCCCTGCACCCCACATTTCAGCAGGAGGCTGGGGATCTAAGAATCCAAAATTCAGAGCCTGTGGCTTCCAGGTTGTTTTGGTACTTTTTTTATTTGAGAGAGAGGAGAGGGAGAGAGAGAGAGAGAGAGGGAGGAGAGAAGAATCCCAAGCAGGCTCTGCTGAGCCAGGTTGTTATGAAAAAATGTATCCGTCGGGGTGGGAGCATACAACATATTTTACTTAGTGTGGAGCAGTTATAAATTCTGGATACTTAGGCATCTGTGGCCCCCTTCTTGCTCTTGACCCGCCCTGCACACGTTGGGAGTAGGAGAGCCTTCCCAAAGCCTGGCCAAGGGCAGGGCAGAGCTACACCAAGCCTGCAGCATCCACATGGGATCTGGCCCAGACCAGATCCCAGCCTCTGATCTTCCTCTCCTGGCCCCTTTGCCCCCAGCCACCCCAGATCGAGACGTGGACATGCTCCTTTGGGGCGCCTTCCTGTTCTCCATGGGCTTCCTGGAGTGCCAGGGGCTCTGCTACCTGAGCTACAGATATGTCACCAAGCCACCTCCCAACTCCCTGGTGAGCAGTTAAGCCTGGGGCGGAAGGAGGGTCAGGGAGAGGACCCAAAGCAGCAGGGGCATGGGCCCAGGGACCCCTGGCTCTCCCTGAAGGGAGGGAGAAGCACACATAGTGCAGAAAATTAGACTTCCTTTCTCTTCTCAGCCTAAGGCCGACAAAGGAACCCTTGGCAAGTGTATTGGAGAAGGGTTGGCGATGGGGACAGTGGGCTTGGTAAAGAAAACCCGTGACAGAAACATCCCGTCTTGGTAGGTGGAGAGCAGGCAGCTACAAGGGGCTGACTGGCCAGGGTGGGCACTCTGGGGAGCCCCTGGAGGCTCACATCCTGTCAAAATGGGCCTCCCCTGGAATCCGGGCCAGTGTAGCCAGGAGAAGTCGGACGCTTAACCGACTGCGCCACCCAGGCGCCCGAATGAGCATATTTAATGAGCATATTTAAATGCTCTTGAAGACAGCATTCTGACCATCTTGGCCCTTTTCCTTGAGATATAATTCACATACCATAAAATCATTCCTTTTAAAGTGTACAACTCAATGGCTTTTAATACATGCAAAAAGTTGTGTGACCATCACGCTAATTCTCCTTATCCTATTGATCTGTTTTTGACTTCTCTGACTCTTTTGTCACCTCCCATCTGCTATTAAGAACACTCCAGTGCGATTCTTATTTCAAATATTGTATTTTTCAGTTCTAAAGTTTCCAATTTTCATAGTTTCTCTTCTGGTGAGACTTCCTAGTCACTCAGTTTTAGCACATTTTCTTTCACTTCCTTGAGCGTATTTCTACTAGCTGCTTGAAAATCATTGCCTGTTAATGCCAGATTTGCGTCATCTTGGAGGAGGTTACCACTGATTGTTTTTTCTCCTGAGTATGGATCACATTTTCTCTTACTCTGCCTGTCTAACAATTTTAGAATGTATCCTGGATGTTGTGAATGGTATACTGGGGGGGCTCTGGATTCTGTTCTTTTCTTCCAAAGAGTAATTGACTTGTTCTGTTTTATTTTAGCAGGCAGGTAATTTGGCTGGGCTTCAAACTCCAAAATGTCAGTCCCATTCTTTGACCTTTACCTGGACTGCTTGGAGTTTATCCTACTCACTTTAGGGGCCAGCTGGGGATTTGGGCCAGGTTTACACTCAGAACTTGGGCCTCCTGCCTCTCTATGGACCAGTCCTCTCTGCGGTCTCTCCCCTCACTTTTAGCTGTTCTGATTGCCCAGAACTCTCTCTTATTATTATTCAAACCAGTAAGATTACAAGGTTTCTATTTAGGTTTAAACCACACCGCAAGCTAAAAGACATTTTAAAAAAATGACAAATCCACCTAATGCCTTTCCTTTTCTGCTTTCTCCAGTATCTGCCTGCTTTTGATTACTCTCTAATGCCTACAGGTGGTTTTTATTTTGGCCAGAGTTTACAGTTGATGCTTTAGGGAGGGTTAGTCCAAAGAAGCTATAAATTACTGGGAGCAAAAAGAAGAGAGATCGAATACGAAAGTGAATGAGATGGGGCGCCTGGGTGGCTCAGTCGGTTAAGCGTCCGACTTCGGCTCAGGTCATGATCTCCCGGTCTGGGATTACAGCCCGCGTCGGGCTCTGTGCCGATAGCGGCAGTAAAAAAAATCTGGGGAAGGAGGAATCTTGGGCCTTGGCAACTTGCTGGACTTGTATCACACGATATTTAACGTGTGCAATTTCAACCGTATGAGTTGCACAAAACAGTGAGTTGTAAAATCCGTTTGTACACTCCTTCACACACTTACACGCCCCTCCAAAAATAAACATAAAAATAACCCTAAACCCTGGCCTCCACATGCCTGCAAAGGGGAAGATGTAGCTGAAAGGCAAAGAACGAAGAAGAAAATTCTTAGCTTTTGAGGCCCAATTAAGGCAGAAGCAATGAGGAAGGCAAGAGAGGGACGGATATTCAAGGGTTTTTGATACTTGACAAAGAAGGAGGAAGAGGAGGAGGAGAAAAACTAGGAGAAGGGGAGATAATGGTGATGTTGGCGGAGGCGGTGATGGTAACAGCAGCGAGCCTAAAAAGAGTGCTTCGTGGGCCAGACCCTGTTCTAGTGAAAGCACGTGTTGCTCGGTGACCGATTGGGTTTGCAGATAAAGCAGAGGGTAGGGGAATAGGAATGGAGCATTGCGGACCAACCACCAGCTTTTGGTGTGGGTAGCTGGTGGACCATACTGAGTGCAGTAACCCAGGCAGAGGGGTGCACAGGCTTGCTTGGGCCCCATATGGAGACTAGTGTGTACAAGGAGTCACTCTGCGTTCTCTATCAAATTCAGCACCTTGGAGGCAAGCAGAGGGAATACGAGTTCATTGGCCTGACCCCCGACACAGAGTTCCTTGGAGCCATCAGGATTTTTGTTCCAGCCTTGGTCAGAGAGAGCGACCCCTACATGTGCCGAGTGAAGACCTTGCCAGGTAAGTTCAACTGGAGCCAGAGGGAGGTGGGACTCCTGAATTCGAATCTTGACTCTGTGCTTTCTTCCCTCTAACCAAGGTGAGGTCTGGTGGCCCACCAAAAACTACAGAAGGATTATTAGCGTATTGCCAAAGTCAATGTTTGTTTATCCATCATTGAGTTAGCTGATGGGCTGTCATTAAACGTGTTTAATCCCTACCCTCCAACCTGCTGGATATCCTCTCTCTGACCAGCTTTGTATATACCCTGGCAAATCCACCGTAATATTAACCCAGGTGAGATCTACTGGGAAATAATCTGCAGAAGGGAAAGCAGAGATGATAAAAACTTCCCTCAGTATCTTCCAAAGTCAAAGAACAGTAACAGTGATAAGAACTAGCATTTCTTTTCTTTTTAATTTTTTTTTTTTTTGAAAGACAGAGAGAGACAGAGCACAAGTGTGGAAGGGGCAGAGAGAGGGAGACACAGAATCCGAAGCAGGCTCCAGGCTCTGAGCTGTCAGCACAGAGCCCGATGCGGGGCTCGAACCCACAAACCGTGAGATCATGACCTGAGCTGAAGTCGGACGCCTAACTGACAGAGCCACCCAGGCACCCCAAGAACTAGCTATTCTGCAGTGCTAGCCAGGGACCAGGAACCACTAACCACAATCCTCATGAGCTACCTATGAGACAGGTACGATTATCACCCTGTCTTACTGAAGACACTAAAGTTCAGAGTGGTTAAGTAACCTGCACAAGGGCACACAGGCGGTGAGGGATAGAACAAGGCTGAATTCAGGAGACCATGTTCTCATCACCACGCTACTATAGAAATCGTTTTGAGTCATTGGCTCAGGGAGATGGTGCAAGTTGAGAAGATGCAAGTGATAGGAGGGCGTCGGATGGATTTGGAAAAAGAGTCTCCTCCTTAGTCATCAGGTTCAGATTCATGATGTCAGTAGGTGATTTCTGTGCTAGTGAGGAGGCGAGGCAGCTGCCAGAGGCTGGGCCGTAGGGCATGCCTGTAGCTGGGTAGAATCATCCTCGGGGAAGCTCTCCTCCCCGGTGTTGTTCAGAAACTCAACTCACCAGTCGCCCCAAGAATGCACAAGAGACTGATTGTCTCCACCCAAGTCCCAGTGCATTAATTTTCGGGGGAAAAGATGCCTGGTCGAAAGGCCAGCACTGGCCACTTGCGCGGGGCAAGCCTTTCCTGGGGAAGGGCCACGGGGACACCAGAATAGAACTTGGCAAGGGCAGAGCTAGAAAAGGAAACCGACTGTACAGGCACCAAGCTGGGGGCATGTATATGATTTGTGACTCTTTCCCCTGGATGGACTAGACAAATGTCCCCCATTCCTGGCCTACCCCTGCCCCACCCCACTTTCTGCCAATGTGCAGCCCCCTCTACCCTTATCCTTCTATTGGCTTGTCCTTACACGGTCTAGGTCATGATGTGATACCTTTTATTTTTTTTCTAAGACCGTAGATACTTTTACATAAGTCACATTTCTTATTGGCTATTTCTTCCTGACATCTAGAAGTCACCTTATCCTTCAAAATTAAGTATATTAACAACAATTCCCGCCATTTGTTAAGTACCCACTCCATTGCCAAGCACTATGTAAAATGCTTTACATGCATTATCCCATTTAATCTTTATAACAATCTTGTGGGTTGGGTAGCCTCACCCCCATTTCACAGAGGCGGAACTCTGGCTCAGAGAGGCTAAGCAACTTACCAGCAACTGCACAGCTGGTCAGTTCATCTAATCTTGAAGCCTGGGCTCTAACCAGCACTTTGCAATTTTGTTTTTGGCTAGGCCTCTCTACTGCACATTTATGTCTCTTATTTCCATTTCAGAGTGATATGTCCTGCCCTTGACCCCGTATCACGCAGTCTGTCTTATCCCAGAGTCCAGAATTTCCACTTTACTTCTCAGGATGTCTGGGAGGGTCACAGAGCAACATCTGAGCATCTTGATGCTGGAAAGGACTCTAGGGGTCATTTCACCCCATATCCAATTTTTACAGATGGGGAAACTTAAGGCATCTTTGTGTAGTGCCTATGAGGAGAGCTTTGTAGTTGAACATGACAATCCTGGTTCTCCACCGAGCAGCTGTGTGCCCTTGGCCAAGTCACTTAGCCTTTCTGAGACTCAGCTTCATTATCCCTAAGAAAGGAGCATCTCTGGCCCTCAATGTTTGGTAGGATGTCATAGGCAGAGCACCCACACCGTGCATATAGTAAGAGTTCAGTAATTGCTGGCTCTTATTCTTAATAAATAGTAGACCAGAGGGGCTCCTGGGTGGCTCAGTCAGTTAAGCGTCTGACTTCAGCTCAGGTCATGATCTCACAGTCCGTGAGTTCGAGCCCCACATCGGGCTCTGTGCTGACAGCTCAGAGCCTGGAGCCGGCTCTGGATTCTGTGTCTCCCTCTCTCTCTGCCCCTCCCCTACTCATGCTCTGTGTCTCAAAAATGAGTAAGTGTGAAAAAAATAGTTTTTTAATAAAAATAAAAATAAATAGTAGACCAGAGAGGGTCATGCAGCAGAGAGAAGGATTCTCAGCATGTCAGTGGCTGAGCCAGACCTCTAACACCCCACATTCCAGAGCACCAAGAGGAATACCGTGTGACAGGGGACAGGGTTATCACTGAGGTGGGAAGCTGACCCAGAGAGGTCAACAGTCAGAGCTGGGGAAGGGCGAGAAGTGGGCTAGAAGTGGAGGCTCCAGGGATTCCCAGGGTTCACAGCAATTGTCAAGGTCACTGACAGCTGGCAATCAGCATCCCACCACATGGGGGAATGGAAGGAGGGTGGCCTGGAGGGTCAAAACCCCTGGAGAACACAAATCACCAGTTTTCGCAAAACCCCAACTATTGCTTTCTTACCACGCCCCCTACCGGTCCCACCTGGGCTGGTGACAGGAAGTGTGTCAGGCCAAGAACTGGCAGCATCAGTCTCAAAGATGCGGGACCACTGGGAGAAGGCTCTACATTAAAGCCCTTAGTCGTCCTTCTCTTTCCCTTTTAGAAAGGGTGGTGCCCTCCCGGGCTCCCTCCTGAGCAAGAGCTTCCCAAACACCCAGCCCATTACCTTTGTAGGGAGGCACAGAGGACAGGCCCCTCCCATTGCCACCTCCCCCCACACAACCCCCTCTGCCTCTGCCCCCAGCGCCCTGCTAGGGAGGTAGGGCTGTCCTCAGACCCAGGCAACAGAGGTCACTTTAGAAGGCTCTGCTCCGGCCATACTCTGGCCATGACCCTCCCCACAAGGTGAAGAGTCCTTAGGTCCAAATGCACAGATTCTCCCCCGGAGCCTGTGACCTCCTAGACCACACTCTGAGTACCTGGGACCCCAATATCCCCTGTACAAATGCCCTGAGCGAGCCTGTGTCCAGTCTAGTGGATCTGTTCCTTGCGTCCTTCCTCCCAAGAGGAGACGCTGTTGATGTGCAGACCCTTAGCCCAAAGGATGGCCGTTTGTTTGTGGCTATTTGTTTGGGGGGGGGCACATGGATGAGCTTGGCTGTGTGGGCTGGGGAGTCCACATCCATGTGCACAAGGCCCCTGCCAGAGAGGGATAGAGCCAGGGTGGGTCAGGGGCCTGTGACAGGCTCTCCCTGCACCCCCACATTTCAGCACGGGGACTCCCAAGGAATCTAAGAATCCAAAATTCAAACCTAGCCTTCCAGGTTGTTATGTATTTTTTTAATTTACTTTTTATTTGAGAGAGAGAGAGGGGGAGAGAGAGAGAGAGAGAGAGAGAGAGAGAATCCCAAGCAGGCTCTGCGCTGAGCCAGGTTGTTATGAAAAATATATCCGTCGGGGTGGGAGCATACAACATATTTTACTTAGTGTCAGAATGATTTATAAATTCTGGATACTTAGGCATCTAGTATGTGGCCCCCTTCTTGTGCTCTTGACCCCGCCCTGCACACGTTGGGAGTAGGAGAGACCTTCCCAAGCCTGGCCCAAGAGGGCAGGGCAGGGAAAGCACCCAGCCTGCAGCATCCACATGGGATCTGGCCCAGACCAGATCCCAGCCTCAGTCTTCCTGCTCTGGCCCCTTTGCCCCCAGCCACCCCAGATCGGACGTGGACATACTCCTTCTCGGGCGCCTTCCTGTTCTCCATGGGCTTCCTCGTCGCAGGGCTCTGCTACCTGAGCTACAGATATGTCACCAAGCCACCTCCGCCTCCCAACTCCCTGGTGAGCAGTTGCGCCTGGGGCCGGAAGGAGGGGTCCAGGGGGGACCCCAAAGCAGCAGGGGCATGGGCCCAGGGACCCCTGGCTCTCCCTGAAGGGGAGGGAGAAGCACATAGTGCAGAAAATTAGACTTCCTTTCTCTTCTCCAACCTAAAGCCGACAAAGACATGGCCCAGCAGGGTGTATTGGAGAAGGGTTGGCGATGGGGGACAGTGGGCTTGGTAAAGAAAACCCACGTGACTTGAAAGCATCCACGTCCAGGCAGGTAACCTAGGAGAGCAGGCAGCTACAAGGGGCTGACAGCGGGTGGGCACTCTGGGGAGCCCTAGAGCTCACATCCTGTCAAAATGGGCCTCCCTGGAATCCGGGCCAGTGTAGCCAGGGCTTCTAGGCCCTATGTAAGCCCCCCCAAGTCATGCCCCAATATGGCGGCCAGTGCCGGCTCTCTGTTAAAGCCACAGGTCCTGCTGCAGAGGCCCGACCTGATGGGTCTGGGGCTCTAGGAGCCGGCTCTCGTTTATGCGAGGGACAGAGGAGTTGAGGGCATTTCGCAATGTCAAAGCCCAGATGAGCCATTTCCTGTAGAATTCCCCTGCCTCCATCCTTTTGCACCTGGCCCCCTATATCAGGCCCTTGGGGACTCGTGAGTGACGAACAGTGTGGGCCACCACCTCGAGAGCATACCCCCAAGGTAACCCCCAATGTGAGTTACCTACTTCCTCGAGAAAGCACAGCCCCGCTCTCTTTCCTTCAGATAGCCTAGACTTTAGAAGTGGCCCTCCACTAAAGCCTCAACTGGGAGCCCTGTCCCTTCACAGAGGCCCAGCATTCAGAGAAATCTCTGGAAAGCCAAGGGGGTGTGTGGCACGTGCATTTTGAATGGTGCCTCAGGTGGTCTACCCCATCCCCTCTGCCTCTCCTTGGAGAACCCCAACCATCCATGGCACCCTCAGGGAGCTGAGAACGTGCCCTAACAGGTAGACTGTTGTCGTCCCTGCACAGAACGTCCAGCGAGTCCTGACCTTCCAGCCTCTGCGGTTCATCCAGGAGCACGTGCTGATCCCTGTCTTTGACCTGAGCAGCCCCAACAGTCTGGCCCAGCCCGTCCAGTACTCTCAAGTCAAGGTCTCCGGGCCCAGGGAGCCCCCGGGAGCCCCACCACTGCACAGCCTGTCTGAGACCACCTACCTCGGGCAGCCAGACATTTCCGTCCTCCGGCCCTCTGGAGTGCCGCCTCACCAGGCACTCTCTCCACTGTCCTGTGTGCCCCAGGCTTCCCCGGAAGTTAGGCCCCCACCCTATGCACCTCAAGTAACCCCCGAAGCTAAACCTCCATCATACATGGCACAGGCCATCTCTGAGGTCCAGCCCCCCTCCTACACTCCTCAGACTACTCCAGACAGCTGGCCTTCTTCCTATGGGATGTGTGTAGAAGGTTCTGGCAAAGACTCCCCACCTGTGACACTCTCTAGTCCCAAACACCTCAGGCCTAAATGTCAGCTTCAGAAAGAGGCACCAGCTGGAAGGTATATCCCCGATGGCCTTTCTCTGCAAGGGATGACCTCCTTGGATATGGGGGACCCCCAGGAAGCAAATTCCTTCCACCAGCATCTGGGAGTTCACACGGACAGAGTACCTGACCCCAGTGTGCTACACAGAGGGGAACTAGGGACACCGTCGTACCTGAAGGGCCAGCTCCCCCTCCTCTCCTCTGTCCAGATCGAGGGCCACCCTGTATCCCTCCCTTTGAACACTCCTTCCCTCCCCTGTTCCCCCACAGACCAGGAACCAAGTCCCTGGGGCCTGCTGGAGTCCCTCGTGTGTCCCAAGGACGAGGAGCCTGTATCTGAGACTGAGGCCCAGAGCCCGGCCCCTCAGGCATCAGACCTGAAGCAGCCCACAGAACTGGACTCTCTCTTCAGAGACCTGGCCCTGACCGTGCAGTGGGAGGCCTGAGCGGAGAACAGGGCGGGCCTGGGGCTTCCTCCCTGTCCCCGCCCTACCTCCCATCACTGGCTGTCACTCCCACACCCGACCATGCTGCACACTATGCAGCCCGGCCGCAGGTGAGTGCCCTTGAAAGAACCGAAGGAAAGAAGGACACGGGGCCCCTGCCATGGGTGAGCTATGGTTGGAGCAAAACGGCATGATAAGGACTGCAGCCGGGGAGTTCTGGGTATGCATCGTATGCAAATGAGCGTGTGCAAGCAGAGCCCTGAGGGGAGAAGCAGTGTGGGGAGTTAATGCAGGAGGCTTCACGGAGTTCCAGCGCCCCCCTCTCCTAAGATGCTGGACACCAAGTTCCCCATCCCGTTCCTGGCCAGATTCGTAAACGAGTTGGACAGAGAGTGAGGTCTCTACTTCCTCTGTGGTTCCCCTATCCTGAGAAACTGAGTCTGGGAAGGACGCCTCATAGCAGGCTGGGCAGAACCAGAACAACCTGCACTCTGCCAAGGCCGAGGTGGCGCGAGGGAGGGGCGCGGCCCGGGGCTCCTTCCAACCCGGCTACTGCCTGAAATCACACCATCTCAATTTCATCCCCCTGCCGGGGGGCTTCCCCCCTCCCCTGGAATGCAGGTCCCAGGGAGGGAGGACACACACAAGCCTTTCCTGCCGGCGGACGACGAGGGTTCAGACCCTGTCTTGAGAGCAGGGTTTGTAAGGAACACGGGGTCATGTGGCCCCTGAAGTAGACACAACAACAAAGTGCACTTACTTGACAGCTTTGGAAACTTAGCTCATCTGGGTTCAAATTCCAGCCTTACCACTTACCGGCTGTCTGACTTCAAGCAAATGAATCACTACTCGAAACCTCAGTTTCTTCATCTGTAAGGTGGAGATAATAACACCTACTTCACGGCGGTGTGGCGAGGATGAAATTAATTAACGAAATGTCTATAAAGTACTTAATTGTGCCTGGCACATGCACAGTGCCCAGGAAATGTCCTGTTGTGATGTTTTACAGTGAGTGACACCCCCCCCCCCCCCCCCCCCCGCCCCCAGGATGTGGCTTCACGCTGGGCATTTTCTCATGGGCTCACATCACCCTGATCTTCTCAGGATTGCTCTGGGCCAGGCCAGAGGGGCTGGGCTATCTGGGGGAGGTGGAAGGAAACAGGGTCTGAAGACAAAGGGAACCTTCTGGCTGAGGTTATAGGAGGAAGTTGTTTAAGGGTGGGGGTGCCGTTCCCAGAGGACAGCTCACCAGAGGCAGTGAACATCTCTCTTGCCCTTCTGCCCCCATGGCCGTTCCTGCTCCTGCTCCTACGTAAGGAAAGGGCTCCTTGCTCATGCCGCGGGGGGCTGGCACATCCTTTGTCCCATTTCCCTCTCAGATGAGCCCTGTGATAAGATAACCGAGGCCCAGAGAGAAGGGACTCGGGGAGGGGCACCATGACTTAGCTGGAGCTCAAACCTAGTGCTTTTCATCCTTATCACGAGAAGGAACTTTCCACACTGGTTTGGATGCTCAGAGATGAGACTCACGGGGATTCAAGAAGGGGGCCCCAATGGGGTCCTTAAGGGGCCAGGACCTGTCATCACCCTCCTGTCCCAAAGCCCGTTCTGAATATTTCTGAGAAACAGGGCCAAAGTCGGGTTGCCTGAGCATGACCTTCCCGAATATAGTGTCCTCTCTGCTCTGTACCTGGATATGTCTCCCCTCCTCTTCCTCACCCCCACCCCCAACACAGCACCAGGTGCTGGTGCTGTTATCTGTTTGTAATTAATATTTAACATCTTCGGGGTCACTGGTCTAGACCCAATATCTCCATAACAGAAGGGTGGGCCACCCTCCTGATGACCCCAGCCCGCTCTCTCAGCAGCCGCTGAGGTGGCTCCAATGATTGTTCCCCTCCCCCCACACTGCAAACAAGTCTGCTTTCTGTCCCTTGAAGTGAACTTGGCCAAAGGTTGACTCTCTTCACCTTGTTCAGTAATGAGAAACAGCTTGAGTGTTCTCACCAGGTAAGAGGGTTGAGGAGTCACAGAGATGATTTTTTTAGGCCGTAAACACCTCTTCTGACTCACCGGGCTGTGAAGGTCTCTAAGCAACTCAGGGTGACAGACAGATGTCCCAACTACTCCCTGACTCTCGGAGGGTGGCGTCTGAGTGCCTGAGGAGAGAGATGAATGGCTCTGAGCCCTGTGACCCTCCTCAGGACGCCCTGTCCCCACTGAGGGACAGACACCAGGTCTCTGGTCTCCCAAGCAGGCAGCCCAGACCTGCAGATAGGGCTGGAAGCAGCTAGAAGGCAGAGTGTCTGAGGCCCCCTGGAGCTGGGATGAGGCACTGACATCCCTGAGTGTCCTAGGCCCTGACCCCATTACCAGGACTCCCCATAGCCTGGCCCCATCTAGCCCAGTGTTCACAGCAGAGCCCGGCCCAGGAGTAAACACAGCTTCCCCAGCCCCACCCCAGCCCTGCTAAATCCACCGCTCCTGGGGCATCTGTATTTCTAATAAACACCTTCGGCGATTCCTCTCGGGCAGGTGGAGGGAACAATGCCCTCACACCACCAGTTTCCCTGTCCATAGCCTCAAATCACCTCCCTGGAGTCACCCATCCCCTGGGTGGGGGTGGGGGTCCAGGCTACTCGGGTAGCACATGCTGTGAAGTCCGCAGACCTCTGGCCTCTCAAGGCCCCCGGCCCCAGGAACATACAGGGGTTGCCTGAGTCTCCTACCCAGAGAATAGGGCCCCTGGGACTGGACCCCTCTGGGGTCCCCGAGGCTGGATCCCTCTGTGCCCCTCCCAGGTCTGAGTGTCAGCCTGAACAAGGATGTTATGACCACATGTCAGGGCCAAGGCTTGTCCCCTGTCGCTGTCCCCACCCCAGCTTCCAGAAAGTGGGACAGAGACAGGAATGGCCTCACCTGCTGTTGCTGGTGGGTCACAGCCCTGAGACCCTAGCCCCCTGCTCAGCCCCTGGGCTGCTTGAGCCCGTTTTCCTTTCCCACTCTAAGGAGGAAGCGGCATAAGGAAGATACACTTAGACCGAAAGTGTGACAAGAACGGTACCTGGAATTAACTGAGGGGGTGGGGAGGAGAACAACAGAGGGAGGGATGGGAGACAAGCGGGCAGAAAGGAGGTGGTGAGAGAAAGCATGGGGCCAGACAGCACTCTGCTTGGCCACCAGGTGAAGCCATCCCCCCCAAAAACCACAGTTTGGCTGTGGTCTGAAAAAGTGCTACGGAAGTTCAGGGTGGCTGCTGGGCGCATTTAAACGGCTGTCCTTAATGTTCATACATCCGGGGAGCGCAAAAAAAGGGGGAAGATGAGAAGGAAAGGAGAGAAGGAAATATGGAGGGGCGCTGGCCGCCAGCCAGGGACTTTGTCGGGCAATGTATGCATTTTAACCCCGTTTGACTCTGACAATCATTCTGCAGGATAAGTATTGCCCAGAGAGGAGGCCAGAGTTCCTCCATGAGTGAGTGCAGGTGCCAGAGGTCGGGATTTAAACCAAGGTTTAGGGGCGCCTGGGGGGCTCAGTGGGTTAAGCGTCTGATTTCGGCTCAGGTCATGATCTCACAGCTTGTGAGTTCGAGCCCCGCGTCGGGCTGTGTGCTGACAGCTCGGAGCCTGGAGCCTGTTTCGGATTCTGTGTCTCCCTCTCTCTCTACCCCTCTCCTGCTCATGCTCTGTCTCTCTCTCTCTCAAAAATAAATAAACGTTTTTTAAAATAATAAACAAGCAAACAAACCCAGGTTTATGTAATTCCAAGCCTCACCTCTGCTCAGCCTTGTGACCTGCGGGGTTGGCTGTGTGCACTTCACGGCACATCTGACTCTCCCTGAGGTGACAGCCCCATGAGGGGTGAGGGCATCACTGGGGTGAATGGGAATCCCACACACGGAAGGAGGGTGAGCTCCCACATTCCGACTGCTGTGGAGTTATCAGTGGAGTTCCTGTTTCACAGGCCTCTGTGGGTGCCAGTCACCGTGCTGCCGGCTCCACCTTCCCTACCGGAACCTTCTCAGTCACACTGCAAGGCCAGCATAGTTGACGCCACTGTATAGGCAACAGAACCAGAATGGTTAACTGATGTCCCTAAGGTCCTACAGCCACCTGGTCCACAGGCTGCCTTGGGGGGAAGGGGGTTCCAGGAGCAGTTTATTTTTATTTTTTTTTTTT